AAAACAAATTAAAAAACAAAATCAAATTTGAAAACAAGAATAAAATAAAAATAGAACAGAAACTAAAGAAATAGAATAGAATAGAATAGAAAATAAAACAATAGAATTGAATAAAAAAGAACCAAATAGAAAGTAAAATAATAGAACAGAATACAGTAGAAAATAATAGAGTAAAACAGAACAAAATAGAATAGGAAATAAAGGAATAGAAAATAATAGAATCCATTAGAATAGAATAAAAAAAGATTAAAATAGAAAATCAAAGAATAGAATAGAAAATAATAGAGTAAATATTAGAATAGAGAATCAAAGAATAGAATAGAAAATAATAGAAAATATTAGAATAGAGAATCAAAGAATAGAATAGAGTAGAAAAACCAACAGAATAGAAGAAAATAGAAAGAATATAACTGCCTTCCGAAATTCAAATTTTGAATAGAATGAATTTGAATTTGAACAGAATACATTAAAATAGAATATAAAAATAATAGAAAAGAATTTAAATGAACAGAATAGATTAGAAAAGACTAAAATACTTTACAAAAAGTTGTGAGCTGCTATGGTGACATGAGTAGTGATCAACAAAGGCACTGTGAAAATTTTTCTGAAATAGAAATTTCCAATATGGTCATGTAACTCTTCATATAACCCATATACAGTCATGGCCGAAATTGTTGGCACCCTTGATATTTTTCCTGAAAATCAAGTATTTCACACAAAAAAGGTATTGCATTAACACATGTTTTGCTATACACATGTTTTATTCCCTTTGTATGTATTGGAACAAATATAAAACAGAGGCAGAAAAGCAAATATGACATAAATGTCACACAAAACCCCAAAAATGGGCTGGACAAAAGTATTGGCACCCTTAACTTAATATTTGGTTGCACACCCTTTGGAAAACATAACTGAAATCAGTCGCTTCCTATAACCATCAATAAGCTTCTGACACCTCTCACCCCGGAATTTTGGACCACTCTTCCTTTGCAAACAGCTCCAGGTCTCTCTTATTGGAAGGACACCTTTTCCCAACAGCAAATTTTAAGATCTCTCCACAGGTGTTCAATGGGATTTAGATCTGGGCTCATTGCTGGCCACTTCAGAACTCTCCAGCGCTTCTTTGCCATCCATTTCTGAGTGCTTTTTGACGTATGTTTGGGGTCATTGTCCTGCTGGAAGACCCAGGATCTTGGACGCAAACCCAGCTTTCTGACACTGGGCCCTACAGTGCGACCCAAAATCCTTTGGTAATCCTCAGATTTCATGATGCCTTGCACACAGTCAAGGCACCCAGTGCCAGAGGCAGCAAAACAACCCCAAAAACATCATTGAACCTCCACCATATTTTACCGTAGGTACTGTGTTTTTGTTCTTTGTAGGCCTCATTCCGTTTTCGGTAAACAGTAGAATGATGTGCTTTACCGAAAAGCTCTATCTTGGTCTCATCTGTCCACAAGACGTTTTCCCAGAAGGCTTTTGGCTTACTCAAGTACATTTTGGCAAACTGTAGTCTTGCTTTTTTATGTCTCTGTGTCAGCAGTGGGGTCCTCCTGGGTCTCCTGCCATAGCGTTTCATTTCATTTAAATGTCGACGGATAGTTCGCGCTGACACTGATGCTCCCTGAGCCTGCAGGACAGCTTGAATGTCTTTGGAACATGTTTGGGGCTGCTTATCCACCATCCGGACTATTCTGCGTTGCAATCTTTCATCAATTTTCCTCATCCGTCCACGACCAGGGAGATTAGCTACAGTGCCATGGGTTGCAAACTTCTTGATAATGTTGCGCACTGTGGACAAAGGCAAATCTAGTTCTCTGGAGATGGACTTGTAACCTTGAGATTGTTGATATTTTGCCACAATTTTGGTTCTCAGGTCCTCAGACAGTTCTCGTCTCCTCTTTCTGTTGTCCATGCTTAGTGTGGCACAGACAGACACACAATGCAAAGGTTAAGTGAACGTCTCTCCTTTTTTATCTGCTTTCAGGTGTGATTTCTATATTGCCCACACCTGTTACTTGCCCCAGGTGAGTTTACAGGAGCATCACATGCTTGTAACATTCTTATTTATCCGCAGTTGTGAAAGGGTGCCAATACTTTTGTCCAGCCCATTTTTGGAGGTTTGTGTGACATTATGTCGAATTTGCTTTCTTTCCTCCCTTTTTTTGTTTTGTCCCAATACACACAAAGGGAATAAACATGTGTATAGCAAAACATGTGTTAATGCAATACGTTTCGTGAGAAATACATGATTTCCTGGAGAAATATCAAGGGTGCCAACAATTTCGGCCATGACTGTACCATCAAAAACACATATGGACTGTGAGATGTGAAAAACCTCAGGTGCTCCTATGTCCCTACAGATTAATAAAAGAGGTAAAGCTGCCAACACCCAATCATATACCTGATGATAAGCAGGAAAAAGACAACAAAATGGTGTGTGCGCTAATACCATATGAAACCCACAATTATATAGGGATGAAAAATAATAAACGCATAAATAAATACCGTATTTTCCGGCGTATAAGACGACTTTTCAACCCCTGAAAATCTTCTGAAAAGTCGGGGGTCGTCTTATACGCCGGTATACAGCGAGCCGGTGTCAGGGCGGCACTTTTTCGAGGGGCAGGGGTGTACAGGGGTGGGCAGAGGGGCTGCTGTACCTTACCTGGCTCCGGTCCAGGTCCCACGACGATCCGGTCCAGGAAGCGCGGCTGCTCCTTCTTTCAGTTCGGGTCCGCTCGGCTCCGCCTCCTCACCGGTGATTGGGCGCCAGCACTGGAAAGGGACACAGGCTACCAATCACCGGCGGGGAGGCGGAGCCGAGCGGCCCCACGAAAATCGAGCGACCCGAACTGAAAGAAGGAGCAGCCGCTCCTCTCCCCCACTGACACTAACGATGGGGCACTATTCCTCCTCCACACTGACACCAACGATGAGGCACTGTTCCTCCCCCACTGACACCAACGATAGGGCACTATTCCTCCTCCCCACTGACACCAATGATGGGGCACTATTCTCCCCACTGATACCAATGATGGGGCACTATTCCTCCCCCACTGACACCAACGATGGGGCACTATTCCTCCTCCCCACTGACACCAACGATGGGGCACTATTCTCCCCACTGATACCAATGATGGGGCACTATTCCTCCCCCACTGACACCAACGATGGGGCACTATTCCTCCTCCCCACTGACACCAACGATAGGGCACTATTCTCCCCACTGATACCAATGATGGGGCACTATTCCTCCCACTGACACCAATGATGGGGCGCTATTCCTCCCACTGACACCAATGATGGGGCGCAATTCCTCCCACTGACACCAATGATGGGGCGCAATTCCTGCCACTGATACCAATGATGGGGCGCTAGTCCTCCCACTGACACCAATGATGGGGTGCTATTCCTCCCACTGACACCAATGATGGAGCACTATTCCTCCCACTGACACTAATGATGGGACACTATTCCTCCCACTGACACCAATGATGGGGCACTATTCCTCCCACTGATACCAATGATGGGGCACTATTCCTCCCACTGATACCAATGATGGGGCACGATTCTTCCCACTGACACCAATGATGGGGCACTATTCCTCCCACTGACTAATGATGGGGCACGATTCTTCCCACTGACACCAATGATGGGGCACTATTCCTCCCACTGACTAATGATGGGACACTATTCCTCACACACTGACACTAATGATGGGGCACCATCATTGGTGTCAGTGGGAGGAATAGTGTCCCATCATTGGTATCGGTGGGAGGAATAGTGCCCCATCATTGGTGTCAGTGGATAAAATAGTGCCCCATCATTGGTGTCAGTGGGAAGAGTAGTGCCTCATCATTGGTATCAGTGGGAGGAATAGCACCCCATCATTGGAATACCATACTGAAATAGCATACCATATTGAAATCAAATCTGATGTTTTTTCATTTTTATTTGGTGTGCATTGGAAGAGGGGTAGTCTTATACGGCGAGTATAGCTCAAACCCTATATTTTAACAGGAAAAGTAGGGGGTCGTCTTATACGCCCAGTCGTCTTATACGCCGGAAAATACGGTATATATAACAAAAAATGATGATAATAATAATAATAAAAAAAAATAAATCTATAACACTCCCACAGACATGTGCAAATAAAAGTGCCAAAACATGGTCCAAAAGGAGGACTACTATATAAATAACAAATAATATACAAAAATTATATATAATAGTGAATACACACAAAATATATCAAGTGAAATTGCAAACAGGTGCCTATAAGACTCACACAACGCTTGTGCAACAGAGTGCCAAATACAATCCAAAATGGGACCAATAAATAACAATAGTGCCCAAAAAGATCCTAAAAATGGATCCAATAGTGGTATGAGAAAAAACACTAAACATATACACAGAGTCCAAACTGGGACTACACACACAAGTGCTCCAACCCCCCAAACAACAATGCTCTGAGGCACAATACCCAAAATGCATACAAAACAACAAACACTGTGTCTCTTAAAATTGTGTTTATTTAAGAGATGCAGTGTTTGTTGTTTTGTATGCGAGGGTTAGGGACTGATGTGAATGTACAATATATATATGTAAAGCACTGCGTAAACTGATGGCACTATATAAGTACCGGTAATAAATAATAAATAAATAATGTTCAGCGCCCAAGGATTGGGAAAATGCTTGGGCATTTGAGCCCTGATCTCATCTCTAATCCATTAATTTATCTGTACATTGAAATGTAATGTGTAAGCTGTGGTCCAAGTTTTACATGTGCATCAAAAATCAAAATAATGCTATAACAAACAAAACAGAGGGTGCACTGGCCTAGTGCATTACCCTTACAATGTGGCTTTATTAACCTCCCTGGCAGTATTCCCGAGTGTAGCTCGGGGTAAAATTTCAGTACCAAAAGCTACACTCGGATTTACCATGCGGCGTTGCTCAGGGATTCCCTGCAGCACTTACCTTGTCCTTCTCTCCCACGATGTGTCCCCTGCAGCGTCCCCGGCCATCTTCTCCGGCAGATGCTGGCATCCGGCTTCCGTGTTCCGGTCCCTGCGAGCGTCAGGACGTACGAGACGTACGGCGTACGGGGGCCGGAACCGGCGGCAAATTTAAAAATTTTAGAAACTGTCATTTTCTAATAAACAAATATGACATAGTAAAACATTACTGTTTCAAAGCATTTCACATACATTTTGTCCCTAGTGCTTTGTCCTGTGCCCTGCCTGCATTTTAACTGTTCTTTCTGCCTAGAAAAGTCCATGGCGTCCAAAAAGCATCGCTTTAGGTCAAAAGCGGTTTTAGACCAGCTAGAGAACAGCGATAGTAAATCAGAACCACTTGCAGAATTGAGTGATAATGATCCGTGGGGAAATTCGGCATCAGACACTGAAAACGATTCTGCTCAGCGATGTGCGAACTTGGCGCTATATTTCAAATTTCAGTGTTTTTGGTGGTTTGATTATATTATTGAATTAAATTTATTATTATTATATTATTATTTTTTTTATGATTATTTATTAAATTATAATTTATGATTTCGTGTTTCAAGTTTTATCATATCCGGAATGTTTACTAGACTCTTGTTCGGACAGATTTCAGTGAGTTATTCCTAAGAATTACAGGCCTACAATAAAAAAACAACATATTTCCATGCAAAAAAAATGTACTGCTTTCAGCACAGAAATATTGACATAATCAGACCGCTAGGGAGGTTAAGTAAAAAAAAAAGTAAGTATTATACTCACAAGGTGAGCTAAAAGTAAAAGCTCATCGTATAGAAACTGCACCGTCCATTCCACAGTACATCATTAAGTACAGGATGATGGAATCTCAACAGGCTGACACGTTTTGAGGACTTAGCCTCCTCCCAGGGCTCTTTTGTATTTTGTATGCCAAAATTCTGCACATGTACAGTACAAAATCCCCCTGGATACAGTTTACTAAGGTGTTTTTACATCAACTGTAAATAATATTAGCATCTTTTATTAAAGCATTTATATTTTATTAAAGAGTTGGCACCCCTGTCAGATTTTGACCAACAATAGGTTTTGCCTGGGGTTTGCCTTTAATGTTTTAAAAGCCTTGTTTGTAAAACCTTTGTTGTACCTTGTGTGTTGCACTTTTGTGTTTTCAATATTTGCCTTAGGACTAGTATGAGAGTCTATATAGTGTATTGCAGCTGGTTCACGTATACATATACTGTATAGTCTGATCACATTGATAAGTTTTTGGTGGTGAGGGATTTTTTTATTTTATTTTATATTTTGATTTAGCACTTATGGTTATTTATACATTTAGCAGAGCACAAGGATTATATTATATATTGTTTTACTTGAATCTTCATGTGCTTTGTGTAGTTCAGTGTGAAACTCTGCTTCTGCACAGAACCTTTCTGTAATAAAGACCAGTCACTGCTGCTCTCTCCTTGTGGATGACAGGTCTTGTATCCACCCCCTCCTATAGTTTTCTACAGGCAGCCTGTAGCGGGTGGAGATTCTTGGCCCCTCCAACACCTGTACAAAGTAATATCTTGGTTTGTAAAGGCATTTGGTGCACACAGTGTATTTCTATCCTTTGTGGCTATTGATTAATATATTTAAATAAATATTTTTGTGCCTGGAATTCATCTCTAAGATGAGCTAAAGCCCACAAATAATATATATTTTCTGACCCTAGATAATAAAATAGTTGTAGATGCAATTTTGCATGTCACATTATATTGGTGCAACTGTTTATCAAATGTATATTTTCAGTTAAGAAAAACACTAAAGTCAATTTCGAAGCACACAAATATATACACATTTTTTGTTAAAATATAAATAATGAGGTTGGACTGAGCAAATAGTAAATAGGTACATTTCAAGCCTTAAAATTGCACATTTCCATGAAATGGCATGAAACTTCAATACACAAAATTGTCCAGAGCTTACACTTTAAATCAGGTACGAATTAATTTAGTGTTAGATAATGAGTTTATGTGAAATCTCCATTAACAGATTTAGAGTAAATAATATTATAATCAGAAATATATTTTAGTTGGTAGATGGAAATATACAGTATTTAAGCCAATGAGTGTGTTGCAGCATCAAACTATTCCTAGCTTCCATATTAGTGTTACTGTAAATAGTTTCGCAAATCTATCTCTCTACTCCTCACCCCACCCCCTCAGTCTCCACCCGAATCACTAGCCTACTGAACGACATATCCAATTGGATGTCACTCCACTTCCTCAAATTAAACCTTTCCAAAACCGAGCTCCGAGCCCACCCCCCCCAACTTCTCCCTCACGTCCAACAACGCCACCCCGCAAGCCAGAGTACTAGGTGTCATCCTAGATGCCAACCTGTCTTTCCAACTCCAGGTCCAATCATTGACAAACTCATGTAGACTCCACCTTCACAACATCTCCAAAATACGCCCATGCCTAACCCCGGAAACTACTAAACAACTCATTCACTCCCTTATCATATCACGACTCGACTACTGTAACTCCCTCCTCACCGGCTTACCTCACCACAGGCTATCCCCGCTTCAGTCTATCCTGAATACTGCGGCCAGACTCATCCACCTTACTAACCGCTCCATATCCGCCACCCCCCCTCTGCCAATCCCTCCACTGGCTTCCGATTGCCCAACGGATAAAATTCAGAATGCTAACATTGACATACAAAGCTGTTCATAACACTGCCCCAAACTACATCACCGACCTGATATGCAAATACCACCCTAAACGTACTCTCTACTCTGGTTCCCTGGTCTCCTCCTTCCATGCCTGTCTCCAGGACTTCTCCAGGGCTTCCCCCGTCCTCTGGAACTCCCTACTCCAATCCATCAGACTATCACCTACACTCCTCTCCTTTAGACGCACCCTGAAGACCATTCTCTTCAGGGTAGCCTACCACGCCTTCAGCTAATTGCCGATCTCCTCCACTCTTCCTACCACTCAATCCCCCACAGCTATTTCCTCCTGTACCACTATCCCCTCCCTCTTAGATTGTAAGCTCCAAGGAGCAGGGCCCTCGAACCCCTCCTGTATCCAATTGTATTGTTACTATACTGTCTTGTGTACTTTCTCCCATTGTTATGTACAGCACTGAGAAAACTATTGGCGCTATATAAATACTGTATAATAATATTAATAGTTTTCCACTTCAAAGGTCTGGTCTTTTGTTGTCCTTTATCACATCTCCCATTACTTGTAAACCGCAGCCTTCTTTGAATCCTCCATTCAGGCCAATATACATTTGCAAGGTATGGTGACTAATTTGGGAGCATAATATTAGCCACAGTACAGAAAGGAGGGGGGAATATAATGCTTTGTCACCAAGCTGTGAGTCCTCTTTGGTTTGGGACACACAGCAGGCAGCATAACCAGAGCTGAAGTTTCGAGGTAAACTAACTTCATACTTGTATTATACATTGTATTATAAATATGGTTTTGTGGGTAATTTGTAAATATTGTATAAGCCAAGGGACATATACTGTACACTGTGTTATAAATACTTTTTAGTGTGTAATTTGTATATATTATGTAACTCTATCAATAAATGTATATTGCAGATGGAATGACCACTTTTGTTAGAGCTTTCAGATCTGGCTGTATATATGTAAATACTCCTACAGTGATTAGGGTGTATTCACATATACACATAACCAAGTTAACATTAGAATTAACCATGAACATGTAGTTCACAGTGGTAAGCAGCCTCCAAGGAGTAGGGACACCACAGGAGTATAGTAGTAGTATAACTGGTTATTAATATTTATAGCTAATTACAGGGATTATTAATCCAGAGAATGTCAGATTGCCTTCTGTGGGATCAGGAAGAATTTTATCTTTCCTCCTAGAGAAAATTGGACCATGCTTTATAAGGGTTTATAAGGGTTTTTTGCCTTCCTAAGGATCAACTGTGGATATAGGATTCTGTATATGGTGATATTATTTTTATTTGATCAATGTATTTATTTCTATTTTTCAATTTGTTTAACTAGATGGCATTTTTTTTCATCCAGACTAACTGTTTACCTATGTTAGATGTACGTAAACCTTAACAATTAACTTATCCTATTTTCTCACCATTGGTCTCCAAAATATACCATGTTTTATTATATCTGTTCAATATGTTCATAAAACTGGAGATTTTGCCAGAAATTGGGTGAGCTGATAACTTCCTGTGCACAAAGAGAAGATATGGAAATAAAAAGGAATTGGATGAGGCGAAGCCTGTATTCTATGTCAATATAAACACTCCACAGCGCAAAAAAAAAATATATTAATGTGTAAAAAAGTCCAGAGTCTCAAAGATATATAAAAAGATATATAAAAAGGTCTTGGATATTTGGTCAAGGTCTTGGATAACGCCCTAGAGGAGGGGCGAAATGCCTCAACGTATTTCCAGTTCCGGTGGCGTAGTGATGTCACGTCTGGTGAGTGGAGCGCATGCTGGTTTGCGGCGCTCCAGAATGACTTCCTGCTTTCCTTTCAAAGGAATTCATATTCCTCACTGCCAGTCCACTTCTGCAAATTATGGATTTGTGTCATATAATAAGAGCATCTAGGCCTATTATGAAAGCGTGAACATATCTTTTATCATGTGATTACATAAAGGGCAGCTTTTTTAGAGTAAAGAGTTTTTTTACAGTATTGCACTATTTCAGTCTTTTTATTTGTTTTTCATTGCCATATAATGGTGGGAATTGTTTTTGGAGGATATCAAGTGCAGAGGTATCTGGGGAGGATATGCCCAGTCTATAAAGCTTGTTTGACTCTTTAGCCATAGCAGCAAGGTGTCCATTCCATCTGGTGAGTGGGGATTGGAGCAGTAATCACGGATGGTGTGAGCACATTTTGGTTAAAGATTTTTTTGAGCACTATTTTGGGATTGAGCACAATTTATATATTTTTTATATATCTTTGGGACTTTATTTGGACTTTTTTACACATTAATAATATTTTTTTGTGCTGTGGAGTGTTTATATTTATAATTGATTGTTTCTTTCTTTTCATGAACAGCAGCATTTAGATTTTGATTGTAGTATACACAATCTTTCTGTGGCACAAGTTTTTTTTGTTTTTTTATTCATTGTATTCTATGTAAGCCATCAGAAATGAAGTAGGCAGCACTGACACCATGTATTTAGGAATTGAGATCTAGGTTGCCATGTCAAAAAATAAGGGTAGGAGCATGATATATTTCAAGAACACTGGCAGTATTTTTTTGTATACTTTCAGCTTGTTTAAGGAAATAAAACATGGGACAATGTGCATGTATTGGTGAGATATTTTAATTGAGTGATGGACTGGTAGAGATATACAGATGGGCAATATTGCATACTTTTGTTAATATATAAAGTATACTACCTTACTGCATTATTACATTTTGTATTTTT